TGAAAAGGACTCCAGATAAAATGCTACATCATTTTAAATGTAATTACTAGCCTTCTTTTAATGACTGCATTCATTTCTCTATTATTTAATCTGAATCCAGAAAGTCAGGAGTCTTAAAATAGATAGGGAGTCCCTGCATTATATGGAAATCAACACAAATTCTTTTACTTTTTCAGTTTGGATCAAACTAAGATTTTATGTAAACAATTTCGTTCTATATTCTTTAGTTCTAGATCCTACACTTATGATAAAATGTGATGAGAAGGCAGAGAAATGTTTCTCCCCTCATTCCTTCCCACCTTCCTTCCTTCCTTCATCCCTCTCTCCCTCCCTCCCTTTCCTTACCTCCTCCCTTCCTCTTTCCTCTTTCTCTTTGTTCTTTTGCTCTCTTCCCATTCGTCCTCCCACACATTCACCCATCTACGTACGTACACACGTATGTTTTTATCTCAGTCACCTTTATACATTTAAATTGGAGTAGACCAAATTCTCCATGACCTCAGACACATGCCTCCTGAGTTTTAGGAAAGAACTGCTAATCTATTTGTCTCTGAAATAGAAATTTTTATTCATAGGTTATGACTATCACATTAAAAAAAATGTTCTAGCATGGGGCTTATGACTCCCTAAATTTGCTAGGTCCTGGCCTCTGTGTAATAAGATTTACCTAGAGACTCTTATGAGTCCTTTGTGAGGACCTGAGACACAGGGATGTGTGTGTGTGTCTGTGTACATGCTTCTCTTAGCATATGTGTATGTATACATAGACACACAATAGACACACACATATATACGAGTAGGTCTAGATATTCCAAACACAGAGAACAAGATAATTGATACTAGGGCATTTTCCTTGAGTTTCTATTAAGTTGAGCTACGAAATTGCCAAGATTCTACCATTCTGTCAAAAAATAGCAAGGTTACGTGATACAGTCTAATACTACATTTCCGATGAAATGTTAAGGTCTCAAAAAACAAATGAACAAAAAAGGTAGAAAAAAAACCAAAGAAACAAAACCTGGTTGCTTGTTGTCTCTTTTGCTCAGTCTAGGGGCAACTGTGCAGCCTGTCTGTCCAAAGCTCCTGACGTTGGGGGGTCTTGAAAGGAAATGCATGTCTCATGTGCAAGAAGAAATGGCCCCTGGGAGCCGTCAGCACAACAGGATCGTTATGAAACTGCCGAGTGAACCACCCTGTATAACTTTCTTCTCTAGCTGCTGGAATCTGGCTCCCCTCTGCCCTAACATGGGGGGACATTCTCATGCACTGGTTGTTAGGAGATGTTAGAAGGTTCAGCAAGCAGGACAAGCATGAGAAATGTCTGCCCTTCTGGAGAGAGAACATTTTCATCAAAGCTGGATACACATCATACATACACCCCCAAATATTTGTGGCACAAGTCACTGAACAGGGACTATCCCCTCCCGCCCCACCTCCTGGTTCGGCTGCTCACAGATGCATCCACAACCAAGTCATAAAACACAACGAAACCAAGAGCCAGTCCATAAAGAGAAGGCTGCCCCAGGCTTAATTCAAGCAAGCCATTCACCGAGCTAATGTGATGGTGGACCTGTCGAATCCAGAACGCATCACGGACACATCAGCAACACCAAGTGCATGCAATGACCAGATGACCATCGGCCCCACTGCCATGCTTTGATCAGTTCAAGCTCAGAAAACAATCCTCTTGGAGAGTCTGGATCGTGGGCTTTCCCTCAATCAAAGGGAGGTTAAAAATGAAGATCTGGTGAAGTCAGGTGCTTTCCACACACTGCCTAAATGCCAAGAAGAGATGTTTGCCTATTCTCATTAAATCTGTCAGGGAAACTATCAAATTACCTAGTCCAGGCAGGTCTCTTGCTTTTGGGGAAATCTCTGCCCACACCAGATGGTCTTCATTCTGGAGGTCAGCATCCAGCAACTCTCAGGGTGCTCCCAAATAATCAGCATGTGATCATTTAACCAAGAAGATGATGGGGAGGGAGTTGCAAGGTGTCCATCAAGGACCTTCTGGACAGTCCTGAGGTTACTGGAGTTCAATATTTTCCAAAGGTCCCTGACTCTTTAATTTGATGAGGACTTAATTTGTGCTGATAAAAGGTAAAATTCTATCACCTGGGGACACCAAGCTTCTCTTGCTTTCTACACTCCTGAAGAGCGAATTTCATGGCTACAAGTGAAATTAGTGGCTGTTTCTCTTTTCATCCTGTTGATAACCAGTGAGCGTTACCAAAACGCTCTCAATTCCTGCTGATTTTGTTTCCTGCTCTAAAGGAGTTTCTTTGGGTTAAGGAGTTTTTTTTCTCTTTGTCATCCTGCTTGTCTTCTAGATGAGAAGAACCCAGAATCTATCATGGCTGATACTAAGCTGGGATCATGTAAAAATAAATTATTACACAACTGCCCCGAGATAAAGTCTAGAAACTTGGCATCTTTCATCCAGATTCAAAAGCTATTCTGATAACTTCACGTCCTCCCCAAATATGTGTCTTCTACCAAAGGGACGGGTCTTCCTTCTCATCGCCTGCTTACTGGAAATATAAGGAAGGACCATGTCATAAATGTGCTTTATAAATTGAACCAGAAATATTTTAAAGATTGTTTTCTGGTAATTTGCCTATTACTGCATTTACCTCAGTACAATAATCCCATATGTGGTGAGTGTCTTGCTTCTAATCAAATTAAAGAGGGCTGGTAATCAATTTCCACACCAACCAAGAAGACCCAACGTACAAATTTCTTTCATAAACAGCAAGAGGCCAATTACATGGACAAGAGTATATTTACTTGGTTTCTTCCACGGAAACGATTACACTAACGTGGGAATTGTAGACTCATTCAAGATTTGCCAAGCCAAGAACGAGGGCAATTTTCGGTAGGACACACTGCTAATGAGAAGTCTCAATAATGTTAAAGTAACAGATTCTATACACACATTTGCACAGGGTGAGCCCCCAATGCAGCAACACTTTACCTTAATTTTCAAATGAAGGCCAACAGAGATGGCCAGATTCTCAATTCTATTGAAGAATACTCTTAAATATTGTTTATTTTTTTAAAAGTATCTAGATGGGTCTTATTGAAGAAAGCAATTTAAATTATATCTTTATAATTAACCTTTTTCCAACTTGGGGGAAGATGCACTTATGCTGAGAAGCAAGATAAAAATCCAAAGAAATAAATCCGTTTAAGATTTTTATAATTATACAGCAGGCTAAAGTCACTACGATTATAATTATATACAAAGTGGGTGTTTGAGAATTTAGCATCTAGAGATATTTTCATAAAAATAATTAAGGGTTGTAGATGAACCACATTACAATTGATACTTTGAGAATCTTCAGTGTGCAGAGTTTAATAGCATTAGGACTTCTCATTTGTAGAATGAGCTCTAGGATTTCAAGATTGCCATCATTTTTATGAGCTTTATTGACCCTCTCTCGTTTCCTAATCCAGTGTCAAAGTGTACTGAAGACAGGAACGTACATAAAAACATATTTTGCATCTTGGCAAGAGGATGCGGGGTAAGTGGATAATTTATGTATTTAGAACTGCATCTTAACAAGTGTTTGGATTTCTTTGGAGGCTCTGTCCAGCCTCAAGAACTCGTTAGGGCTGTTTATAAGGAAACGGTAATACTATCTACATGCAACCAGATAGCAGATCTCACTTCTATCTCGCCCAAGAGCCATTGCAAACAAGTGTATGCACGGGGTTTTCCAAGTGCCGTTTTTTGGGGGTTCAGTTGTTGATGTTGCTTTCTTCTACCTCGGAAGAAATCTGCAGCTACGTCGAGCTAACGACACATCTCGTGGGAAATGGAATGGAGCCGCAGAGAAAGCACACCGCAGCAAACCGGGAGAGGATCTAAGTCACAACAGGCCAGGGAGGAAGGAGCACCAGTGGCTGCTGACACTTCCGACTCGGGGGTCAAGTACATCGCCTGCTTACCTGTCTGACCCAGCATGCCTCAGCCACACATGCAAATCGTTACTGTCACTGTTTTATCCATGAGACGTATTTTTAAATTAAAAGAGTCATTACCAAAAATAAGCACCCTCAATGACATTTGTACATGCAGAGCCTCTGAACATTCCCATTTATGTCCTCAGAAAACAGAGCCAACGGGTTGCATTCAAATATGGAAACGCACATTTTTTTTTTTTTTTTTTTTTTTTCCTTTTTTTCCCCCCCGTCAGGCACCTACACGAAAATAGCTGTGGCTTGTCATTTCAGAAACCAAGTCATCTGTCAAGCCTGGGCAAGGGGTAACGGAGCTCCTCCCCACCCCGTGGCCCCCACCCCCGCCACCCAATCTGACTTCTGCATTTCTTAGTCCCTCTCTGTCCCCCTTCCACTGCCGGTCTTAACATGTGGTGCGTGTTACAAATACACCTGGTTTATCCTAGTAGGTTTGGACACGGGGCCCTGCCGGATAGAGTGAACCTGCTTAGGAATGCCAGGTACATCTCCCCCATTCCTTCGTGTTGGATAAAAAAAAAATAAATAAATAAAAAAATAAAGAGGTAACAGAGGGAATGCTTTACTGGGTGTGGAAAAAAAAAAGAAAAAAGAACAAGGGAAGCGGGTGACTGAAGTGGAGGAAAACCTGCCGGCTCATCTTCTCGTGTTCATCCTAGGAGCTAGAGACCGTGGCTGCTGCTTACACGGAAGACCGTGGGAAGGCTGTGCGGGGACAGTTTGTGTGTGCATGCAAGGTACGCTGTCGCAGGGATTGAGAGAGATCGGAAAAGCAACTACACGGGCACAAAACACAGCATTTTGGGTCTTAGCAGAGAGGGTGAGAGTTTAGGATGGTCTAAGCTTGATGGTTCATTCTGTCTCTACGTGGCACTGTTCACCGTCACCCTGGGCCCTGATTTGGGGGTGCTGCCTCCCCAGCAGTCATGCATGCGCACCAGAACCAGACGAGAATCTTGTTTCCCACCGGCTAAGTTCATTTCCAGGTAGTTGTCAAGCGGGAGGAGGGAGACTCTTACCTGTCACTGTAGGCAGCGGCAGTGGCAGGGGTCGGCTGGGCGTAGCGGTATGCAGCATAACCACCCTGAAACGCAAGGAGAAATCTGACTCAGGAGTGCAGACGAGGCCAACTCAGGGGCACCCAACCGTGAGGCCGCACCTGAACAGCAGTAACCCACATCTACCAGTCTAACGTGGAGGTTAATGAAAGCTTAGTACCAAAGCAGAAGTACCAAACACACTGGAGAGACAGGGGCTTGGATACCAACCCCAGCTGGATGTTAAAGGTTAGCGGTTGTAAGCGTTTCCCAGAGGAGGAACCCAGACACCCTTCTAAAGAGATGTACCTAGACGGTTAATGGTGACCGTGTTGGGGTGGGGAGGGTTACGGGGGATCAAAATCTCTAAACACTCTGTATACTTTGCTGAACTTTCCAGATTTTCAAAAATGATTACGTTTTGCCTTTCCTTATTAGCCACTAACTTACATCTTATTCAATCTCTCCTTAATGACTTCCTTAAAAATCCAACATAGGTTGAGCTAAGGCCCTCCTGTCTTACATTGATATTTCTAAAAAAAAAAAAAAAAAAAGATAACGCTTTGATGGAAAGTTTATTAGTCATCTCTCGCCTATGTAGCTATTCAACCACTGAAGCAATTAAAGAAGGCTGTGTTTAGCTTTCTAAGTGTTGCATAATTATTTAAAAAAATGGAATGGTGAACACTTGTTAAAAATTCTGTCTTTTCCGCTAAAGATATCACACTGGTGCAGATAGGGAATTTGTCTGGTGCGGAAAATATGATAAAGCTTTCCAATTTGTAAATAAAATCATTAAGAGAGGGGGAAAAAAAAACCCTGAAAAAAATAATTAACATTTAGTTCCATGTACCAGTTACTGCAATTGTTCAATTAAGCAGAGGACAAGCAAATGGTCATATTCGAAAGGAATTGTGTTCAGCGGAGCATTGATTATCAAACTGTGAAAATAACCCAGCTTCTTGCTCAGCAGACCACAGCGATACATCAACCACTGTCGACTGCTCTCAGCACAATTAACAAACAGGATCTAGTCTCTACCGATAACACAGGGGACGCTTGGGTTCTAATTAGAATTCACCATCCCACAATCCTCTGAGGCAACAGTTCTCACCCTTACCATAAAGGGGCAACTCTGAACAGACTGATGGGTTCGAGGACACCCCTCCCTGCAACAGCCAAGCTACTCTTGTGTCAGAGAGGCTCTAACAAGAAAATCTGGAGTGAGGGGTATGTTATGCTTAGCTTCGTTCCTAGGGGACAGCCCAATGGTAAGACAAGGATATGGATGCTGTAAGGAGCAGCTTTTTTTTTTTTTTTAAAGCATTTTTTTTTTTTTTTAATATTTTATTTATTGATTTGACAGAGAGAGATCACAAGTAGAGAGGCAGGCAGAGAGAGAGAGAGGGAAGCAGGCTCCCCGCTGAGCAGAGAGCCCGATGCGGGACTCGATCCCAGGACCCTGAGATCATGACCTGAGCCGAAGGCAGCGGCTTAACCCACTGAGCCACCCAGGCGCCCCAAGGAGCAGCTTTTGAAATGTGGATGTCATCTCAGTAATTTATCTCTTCCCTCTTCTAACTTTCAGAATAGATCTGCCACGACTTACATAGTGATTCAAAAAATCTAGTTTGTCCTTAAAGAAATTTGTCCTTTGGATCAGCCCTGGAGACATAATCCAAGACACCCAATCAGCAATCATTTGGAGGCAGTATTAAAAAAACGAGGTCTTAGCCAGACACCACCTGGTGCTCCAAACACCATGTTCTCTAATTAGGAATGGGGAAACTCATTAAATGTGCTGAAGAGTGGTAAAACCAAAGTGGTTGTCACACCAGCACCAAGCTCAAGATACAGAATGATGGGCTGAGGCGAAATTAGGTCACCAGATTTCTGGAGTCATTCTTTTTATCTGCTTGTCCATCTCCTAGGCTTTCATGATGCGTCCAGACAGACACAGGTGTGTATTAAACCGTGAGGTAGGGAGGGAGGGGCTGGAGTTGGCTCGCTGATTGCTAGGAGGTGCTAACTGCCACCAGCCGAAAGCTTGGGTGGAAAAAAAAAAAAAAAAGTGGGTGTGGGTGTGTGTGTGTATGTGTGTTTCTTCCAGAGTAGAAAGCAAAAGCCACTGCGAAGGTATTTGCATCAAGGACCATGTAAATCAGTCATGATTTTGTGACTGTGAATTTGGTCCAAGCAAAGATTTCTAGCAACATCCCACCTCCCTGCACATCCTCTACATTTGAACTCTGTATGGGTCCCCAACTTCCACGATTGTTTCCATTAGGGAACGTGGGTAGCCAGTATGATAAGTGTCGTGCAAACAGCAGATAAGGCAAATGAACCTCACTAACCACCAGTCAGTATTTACTGTTATGAGCCTAGAATGGATGTGTGTGCAGCTGGGATTCCTCTGCCTGGCAGACGTACTTGACCATGGCACCTTGGGAAAGACCCATTGTCTCCATTATTTTCACGAGACCTGCCCATTTAAAATAAGTGTGTGTTTCTACGCGAGACAGGCCCCAATGGTCGATGTCCTGACAACATCCTGGTCTTGGGTATTTAGGAATCTGTTCACCAGCATTCCCTACTTAAGACTCAAGGTCATAGTTGTCCGAGGTCTGTGGAGCCAGTGGAGAGATTCTGACCTTGAGCAGTAGGCTCCTTCCTGTCCAGTGGGTATGCTGGTGGTGATGGCAATGTTCTGCCCCTGAGCTGTCCCACACAGTCATCACTGGTCCTTGAGTGACTACCAAACACTGGAAATGTTGGCTGATGAAGCAAACTGCAATTTTTAATCTGTCTGGTTTGAGTTAATTTGACTTTCCCCATCAAGGCTCATGTGGAGCTGACAGTTTCAGTATTGGACAGTCTGGGTCTAAGTGATCCCTCAAATAGGTTATCAGCACAGAAAGAAAAGGGTCAGGGGGCTTGACACCACTACGTGTATGCACTGCACTGTCTCCTTTTGCGATTTTTCTTCTGTATGAAATCCATATTAGGGGAATAACCGAGTTGTGTATTAACTCTGTGTATGTGTGCATACACTGTAAAATGATAAAAAAATACAAATTGCTTTAATTTGCCTTTCTAACAGGTGACTCTAATCAATTTTATTGCTCCATATTTTGCAGCTCGCTGAGCATAGCCACAGCTCCTGCAAGGTTCTGTGCTAATGTGTGAAAAAGGAGCCCTCCCTTCCATTTGCTGGCACCAAACCATGTTCATGTGCAAACTGGTCTTCCTGACCTTAGGACAGAAATGTGTCCTTGACAATTAGATCTTTTTCCCACCACCAAACCAAATGGCAAGTACCACGTGGTTCTGCGCTCCCTACTCATAAAATACACTCATTTTTCACATATTGGGCAGCAAGCTATAAATGAGATCTTATATAAAATGTAACTCTTGAACGGCCATTATGAATTCCCCCCTCCCACCTCTGCCACCATCACCAGAAGTGGCCTTGAAGATCCCGACTCGATGTTGTCGGAAACATAGCCGTTGCTAGCGGGACCTCTGGAGGCTGGGGCAAGTTAGTGATGGGGGACCTCTCATGGTTCTCCAACAAAGTATTTCCAACAATGCACTTCATGGGATACTAACAATGGAAGGCAAAGGAACTTTCTGTGACCAAATAGGTTTGGGAAATGCCAAATGAAATGAAACGAAACTGGTTACTTCAGCTGTGGAACTTTCTAAAAAGATATTGATGAGCGCTGTGGACCCTCAGTGCATCTCAGAGTCCTTTAGCAAGGGAAATCACGTTTTTTTACTTTAGAGTATACTTTTGGAAAAAGATGTTCTAATAGCCAAATGACTTAGGAAGAGAGGTGAAATGTTTGTATGCTGGTGGGGACATGGGGGATAGGGAGTGCTGTAGTGTGTGTGTGTGTGTGTGTGTGTGTGTGTGTGTGTGTGGCTTCTGCCTAACTGTATAAGTAGCAAAGGGCTTAATCCTAGACAGCAGCCTCCCCGTTTCTGAGAATACCCAAAGATCTCACTTCATGCAATCTACAAGGTGGGCTGGTACATACTGGTACATACACATTTTACTAAAACCGCAGTTAGAAGAACACTTGGAAAATGAAACATTTAAACATAGTCACTCCCTAATTTATCCGCATCACACATTTGGCTGTTTTTGGAGTGTGGCAATGGAAACCAGCCTTCCTGAAACCTCAAAATAAAAGTTGATCTTGGGAATTCAAATTATTTTGTTCTCTCCTTGATCCAAGGACCTCCCTCTTGTACTGGATTTCTCTTTACAATTTGATTAATTCTCATGGTTAAAAGAGAACGTACTTTCTTAACTGACTTAACACAGAACAGAAATGGGAACCGCACGTTACAGGGAAATCCATGTACTAAAACTCCCACTGATCATTCTTAGTTTTACATTCGTCTTTCATTTTACTTGACAGTTTTAATGTTCATTGGGGCAGCTACACTCCAATAGATGTGTTGCTCTTTTTTCTTCCTACAAATTGGTTCATTTGGGGGTTGCTTCAGCAGTAATAGGGTTGAAAGCTATAGCAATGGGTATGCAATAAATTTATGCGAAGCTACAATGAAACCAGGGAAAGTTACGTTAGCTATGCTGACCCTTGATGCAGGATGAATACGTTTTCTGTTTAACCATTCCAGTTGACTCCAGGAACCTACTACAAAGTTACCGAGACAGCTGATACAATGAAACCTTGCAAATCTTTTCGCTGAGTTTATATTAATTGGGTATAGATGCATTTTAAGCCAGGAAATTTATAGCCACGTCAGAATCTCCATTTTGATACACTCACGATCTAGCGAACAGGGGAATCTGAGGGTACACATCTCTATTCTAGAAGCATTCACATCGAAACTGGAAAATTCAGTTAAGTCTTTCCTCCTCCTATGTTAGAGAACGTCTCCCCTCCCCAGAGTCGTCTTGTTAGTAGGATTTCACAGCAAACCCACAATCATAGTGATGAGGTTTCCCGCCAGTCGGGATTTCATACCTGCAGCAATTTATTGCCATACACAGGCTCTTGATACACTACTCTATAAGGAAACAGAAATGTAATGTTTTCAATGCAAAAATGAAATAAATAAAAGAAAACGCATAAGTCAGACAGAAATTCCAGAGCAATTCATTTACAAGTTTGCTTCTCTTACGTCCCTAAGATCCGAGAATGACCCATTGAACCAAGAGGAGGAGGTTTTAGCCTCGGAGCTCCGTAACCCAGAGAATCCAGAACGTGCAGGTGGGGCTCTAACCCTACTGATTGTGTTTGTGCCACAATCTGCATTTAGTTTTAGAGAAGAAAAAAGGATACTTTCATGGCTTCTTATCCTTCTAAGCATAATGCAACAGTTCAAATTAACTACTTCAAATTTCTCTCTTTATTTCATGATTAGAGTTCTCTGGAATACCAGAGGATTTCGCTTTGATGCCTAATTATTGGGGCAGTTAAGACTGTATCAATACCTTTGTTTTTAAAAATTGAATATCGAGTAACAACAGAGAGTGCAACTGAATTTCGTGAATGAATGAATTACACTGAGCTACCAAAGCTGCTTTTAAGATATATGACTGGAAAAACTGTGCGTGCATGTGTCTAGAGAAGTTGCTGACATATCTATCTATCTATCATCTATCTATCTAATGTGGACATGCCACAACCTCATTCAAGTCCAATACCAACAAAATCTCAAGTAGAACCCCTTGGATAGGATGCAATTTTTGGATGTGAGAGTTTTTGGGGGCAAGCCTAATCTTTCTTGTGAGTAGTTCTAGTTTAAAGTGAAATGTTTTAGTTCTAGGGCAGAGATCAAGGTGGTAGAACACCGTAAGAGATTTAGGAACCGCCTTATAAAGGTGTGTGCGTGTGTGTGTGTGTGTGTGTGTTTTAATCTTCAGTTGGCCTTAGATTTAATAAATTTAAGCCTGTGGACCTATGCCTGTCAAAATTCTAGGCCTCTCTCCCTCTCTCCCATGGCTTAGTGGAAAGTTTCAAGTCGAGATACTATTCCCCATGACCCGCCTATTCCATTATCCTCTCCATTATGCTCTGATTTCTGATCTTCCTCCTTTCCTTTCACTGCATTTCTGAGTCTGGCTCAGTGAGGGCAACAAGGTAGCCCTGTTGGCTCTGGGCTTAAGCACTGAGTGAGGCCAGATCATGCAGGCTCAGACGCCCATGTCAATGGACGTTTCTGGACAAACCACTTCATCTCTTTTCCAAAGCAAAGTTTCCCCCTCTGAAAACAAAATTGGAGGCAATGGGTGGAGGCAACTCCTCCCCTCCGGGGGTCCGAGGGGGAGGCCAGGCAGTAAGGGCTGACCTTCTTGTCCCACACAGTAATGCTTAACTCCTTGGTGGGCGGCCGGTCCCGTGGTGACTGACTGACCTTCCTCATCTTAGTGGACTCGTAGTCAACTCTCTGTTGTTACTCGATATTCAATTTTTAAAAACAAAGGTATTGATCCAGTCTTAACTGCCCCAATAATTAGGCATCAAAGCGAAATCCTCCGGTATTCCAGAGAACTCTAATCATGAAATAAAGAGAGAAATTTGAAGTAGTTAATTTGAACTGTTCAAAGTAGGGTCCTAGGAATGAGGACTTGGGTTTCTTTGGAGAGGTTCTGTGTTGCCCTAACAGAATTTAAGAATCATGAGAACAGGCACTGGAGTCTCATGGAGACATACCAGCCTCGTGGCTGCATGGACGGGCGGAAAGCTTAGGGCTTTCTTACGAAAAGGGAACACGGTTAACATTTCTATCCTCTATCAGTGGTCCTTTCTGTCTGCCCTCTCCCCACCTGTTCTCTCTTCTCTTCTTCCCATCACTATCTCACCGCACTTTCCACTTAGTACCTTCTTTTTAAATAGCTCTATTATAATGGCCTTATTTCCATTTTCAATAGTTATCTCTTGATCCAATGCCATACCCTTGGCTCTTTCCCTGAGCGGGGAAGACAAACATCGGGCTAAATGGACTTAAGCCACACTTACTCTCATCTCTGTGGCCATTCTGGTCCCATGAGTTCCATACTTTCACCCCCAAACAGAACAGATTGCTTTGTAGGCCCAGGAGACTTGGTCCTTCCACTCCAACTTTTCAAACAGGTTGTCAACCCCCTGGATCACTACTACTATTTTTTCTTCTTTACCTTGACTCACTTTCTCATGAAAAAAAAAAAAAATCATTTCAATGTGCACCACTGAGTAATCATGGTGAACTTGCAGATTTGATAGGCTAGTTGTGTAAGCTAAATTCCTATCTTTTGAAATAAAAGTAAGAGTGTGTGTGTGTGTGTGTGTGTGTGTGTGTGTGTGTAGCCTGTCCTTGAGTGGGAAGGACCCAGGTAATGACCTTTTATGCTGCCAACCTTCCTGGCTTCGAAACCTGCTACATCTGCTCTACTGAGTGGCCATCCACACTGGGCCTGAGTATGTCCCCTGTGGCCAGAGTCCGAGCTTCCCCTGCAGGTCCTTCAAACCCTATGTGCTCTCTTGGGACTGAGAAATGCCCAAGGGCTCCAACGTCAGGTGGGGAAGGACCTGCAGATGGAAAGGACTTGCAGGACAGAGAGTAAGGGTGGAGGCCGTGGTCTGGTGCGTGTGCTGGGACAGCTTCTGAGGGGGGTAGCACTTGAGCAGGAAGAGCTAGAGGGTGGCCTGCCTGTGCCATCCTTAGCAGTGACCGAAGTAGAAGCTCACTACTCTACCCAGTAAAGTTAAAATCAAAGAGGACATTTAAACCTATTAGAGGTGACCCATGTGCCTATCACATGTTCCAGGACCTCTCAGGATTGCCCTAACCCTATTTATTGTGCACTGTTTTAATGAGATTAAAGGAGCAAGCCAGAAACTTTCTTTAAATAAGAGAGAACCTCATAAGCTTTTCCTCTGAACCTTGTTATTCATCATTCCTTTAAGAAACGGTGCCCCAGGGACAGTACCAGTCATCAGAACAGACAGTACTGAAAGGGAAGCAGGGGAGTCACTTTGAAAAAGCACATTCCAGAGTGTAAGGTACTTCTAGCCAAGAAGAATCCTGCTCCATAAACTTCAGAGTGCAGGAAATATTCGTAGTCTTTCTTTCCCTGAAATGGACATAAGGCCATTGATGAGCCCTTATTTGGCTGCCGTAACAGGTGGTCTAGTCTGTCACTGTGCCCCACAGACACACACCAAGCTTGCCATCTTACATGGAGCAGAATAATCAGGAAGGTTTGCAAGGTCTAAGTTGTCTCCTTGGAAAGATGACAGAAACAAGTGCTGGGTGGACAAGCCTCCAAGTCATTTCAGTAAGTGCTTCTGAACCCTGACTGCCTATTTGGAAACACCCCCTGAAAAATCTTACTGTCATTTAATATGAACAGCGGGAAAATAAATTTTTTTTTTTTTTTTTTTTTTTTGGCTAGAAGAGTGGCTTGCAAAGAACGAGAGAAACGGTCTTCTAAACCTTGACACCGGGAAGCGCAGCATCGCAGAATCAAGAAAGGCCACCCCCGGAGAGAATCCTTGCCCGCGCATCGCCCAGACACCTGCGGAGGCTACGACACTGCGCCCGGCAGGCTTGGCCCAGAGATGATGATGACTCGGGGGGAAACAAAAGCCACTAAAGGAACTTAAAGACGTTTTTTGTAGCTTTCCTCCTTGAACGGAATTGATCTTCTCGCCTTAGCCTGGAAGCTGGCACAGGTGCCCCCTCCTGCGGGTCTCTGCTCCCTCCACTTGCTCTGCTCTCATGGATTCCCCTTGTAGGCTCTAGTGCTGACTGGCACAGACACACCTGCCCACTCCTCTTCCTAGTGCATCCTTTCCCTATGTCTGTGATCCGACAGACTCTCCCTTTGGGCAGCTCCTCCTTCCTACTACTCAGACATATAGGAGGCAGCAAAAGACACCCATGGGGAAGATCCACAGGACGGCACAAATTAATAATTCAACCAGTTGCTCTCAGTTTACAAATGAAGAAACTGAGGCACACAGAGAAGCAGACGTTCAATAAACAGTCGCTATTTCTGTTTTCAGCTAGGCTTACCAACATACACTCCCCTACTCCCACTGGTGGGGTGTTGATGGAGAGAGTTTTTGGTTTTGGGGTTTTTTTTGTTTTTTTTTTTGGTAGATTACTTTTCCCCCTCATTTTTCATCTTTTCTCGTCTCCCTATTTCCCAAATTAAAAAAAAAAAAAAAAAAAAAAAAAAGCTCTAAGGAAGCCCAAGAGGTGTGCTCTACCTAGAGGCTACCTCGGGGGATGGTATAGACTGATGTAGGGTTCATTGGGTTTCCAAGCATGTGAATGGGGTCGAGATGTCCAGCTCCAGTCTGCCTCTCTATTTATAATGGTATGCATTGAAAGTTGTTTGTTTTTTGAAGAGCATATCTGGAGGCATGGATTAAGCTACACAAAAAATAAGAAATTTGTTGTTTACTGGGTGCAGAATGTTTGTTTTATTTTGAAAAAACAAAACAAAAAAACTAACCCACAGATTATGTGTATTTGGTGCAATGATAGTAGAACTCAACTATATGTATCATTGATGGAGATTAACACTGTGTCTCAAATTTGTGATTATTTGAAACTCAAAAGGAAGAAAATTAATAGTGTCTTTCCCATTTTCTAGTAAATGCTATCAATTTGGTCAGAAGTATGGTTTTATTTTTGTTACCTAGTTTATACGCGACAAATAGGATTGCAGTGAACTTATCTGAGGTCACTTGTAACAAAAAGTATATGATTTAAAAAACAGCCCCCGGCCCTGCTCATCTATTTTAAGCTGCATTTACGCCAGGTTATGTTCTTAACACTGCAGCTAATATCATGATGTGGGAGAAAAAGTGCCTCTAGGTCCATTTAGGTAAGTTTAATTGTGGTCCCACTGAGAACCACCCTACTCTTTTCTGAAAGCGAAAAGCCTAAAAAGGTGGGACAATTTAATAAACAATTCTAAATTCAACAAACACTTCTAAGTCCGGTAATGGTTTGGGCGGGAAACGGAAATAATAAGGAAGAAAATAGGGTTTCCTGGTCAAGCTGGCATACAT